GGGGGGGGGGGGGGGGGGGGGGGGCTGCCCTGCGCACGTGCTAAGCACCCCCTCAGCCCTGAGTAAGGGGGGTATTGGACTGGCATGCACACCACACACTGTGTGAAGCAAGTGGCCCTTACCTTTGCTCGGCAAGGAAGTGCTTCAGCTCTGGGTTGAACGTTACCCAAGGGGACTGGACAACCTCCCTTCTGAAACATTATCCCCTGCCTTATTGGGTGGAAYATTCTATCAAATGTCTTTTCCCTAATAAATAGAGGGGTTCCAGGAGCACTCGATCTCTTGATCTCTTGCTTTCCAGTGTGCAAGGGCCCCCAAGGTCGAAGAGCAGTCCCAGACCCCCATTTTGTGAAAAAAAGTACTTCTATGTCCATGTGGTCTTTTCATCACCAGAACAAACCACGCAGAGTGATCCGGATTCCATTACCCATGTGAGATGTGGGCAATAGCCCATGTATGAAGAGCAAGGTTTATCAGTAGAGATGGCTGCACTCCCCAGGGACATTTAGTCCTGCGGGGAAACATTCTGGATTATCACCACTGAGGCCTGCTACTGACCATCACTGGGCAGAGGTCAAGGATGCTGCTAGACATCCTATAAGGCAAAGGATAGAACCCAAAACAAAATCAACTGGCCCAAAATGTCAGTGGTTCCAAGGTAGAGAAAGCCTGATGTGCAGCAATCACTGCTGCTGTCTCCACAGAATGAGGCAAAGGACAAGAGAAGGAAAGTACCAAGTCGTAACACCCAGGCTCTGGGTCAACTGCACGAGCCTCAGGCCAACTTTCCTGCAGGCACAAGCCTTGGGCAGAAAATAAAAGCCACTCTGCATCCCTAAAAACCACCAGAGCTGGAAGAAAAAGGATGCAGGTCAAATCTTGAAAGAAAGTGAACAGGACGGGGAGAACTTCCCAACTTTTACTTTTGTGCCTGAGAAGAGCTTGAAGCAGTTCTGACTACTATAATTAAAAGAGGGAAACCTCAAGTTCTGCCCAAGCTCCAGGCCAACACCAGTGTGGGGCAGGTTCCAAGCAGTCAGGTCCCTGAAATAACTGAAACGGGATTCTAGCTGCTAGGAAAAAAAAAAAAAAAAAGCAAAAAGCACTTTTAAGAGAAATATGGCAGAATCCAAAATTTCCACAAAATATCATTCATAATATCCAGGATACACTCCAAAATTACCAAACATATGAATAAACAGGGAAACAACAAAAACTAACATAAAATGATCCTATTTGGAGTATTCGGTATTTTTGAAATGTGATAAGGATTTCAAAGCATTATAACTCAGAGACATAATGAAAAAATACAGTAATGAAAAAATTAAAATTGCAGCAGAGAAACTATGAAAAAATACCAAATGGAAATTCTATAAATGAGAAATACTGTGTCTAAAATCAAAATACTCATGGGGCTGGGTTGTGGCGCAGTGGTAGAGTGCTTGCCTTGCACGTGGAGGTACTGGGTTCGCTCCTCAACACCACATAAAAAGATAAACAGAATAAAGTTATTGTGTTCATCTACAAAAATTTTTTTTAAAAAAGTCAATGGATGGACTTAACAGCACACTGGAGATGACAAGTCAGGAAATTTGAAAACAGAACAATAAAAACTATCTAGACTAAAAAACAAAAAATCACTACGAATTAAAAAGGAACAGAATATCTCACCATTCTGTGCAACAAAATCAAAGGTCTGGAGTCTACCAAGAAGGAGAGACAAAGAACAAAGCAGAAAAAAATATTTTGAGGAAAAAAGACCCAAAAAATTTCCTCAATTTGGTAACATGAATTTATAGATTCTAGAAATTCAGCTGGTACATGCCTTGTAATCCTAGCAACTCAGGAGGAACTTAGACCCTGTCTCAAAAGAAAATAAATGAATAAAAAATAAAAAAGCTGCCCCCTGGTTTCAATTCCAATACATACACACACACACACACACACACACACACACACACACACAGAGAAAAATTTCAAAAGTCCAAAAATAAAAAGACCCATTAAATACAAATACAGAACGATAATATGCATGATCATTTAACTATCAGAAACAGAGGCCAGAAAACAATGGAATAGTATTTAAATTCTGAAAGAGAAAAGTATCAGTATTTTTGTATCCAGAAAAAAAGATCCTCCCAGAATGAAAACTAATGTATTCTGAGATAAGTACAAACCAAGAAATTGTCACCAGCACCTGCATTACAAAGCAAGGCTAAAGGAAGTTCTTGGAGTTGAAGGGAAAAGAGACCAGGCTGAAACTCAGGCAATTAGAAAGGAATCATGGGAACTAGACTGGCAAAATGTGAGCTGACATAAGAGACTTTCCTGTCACTGTCTCTGGATGCTCACACCTCCAGTCAAGTGAGTGCACTGAGGGCACCACCAGGTGTGGTGCCCGCGACAATGCATCAAGGGGCACTGCCACGTGAGCACTAAGGGGCCAGCAGTGAGCTAAGGAGCTGCTAGGAGCCACAGCAAAAGTATTGATACATGGTACCTTTGGTTTAGGTGACTGCCAGCTAGCCATTGAGATGATTATGTTAAGCTTTACATTCATATGGTAATTGGACTCCTGCTGTTCACCTCGGCCTGTTACGGGACTCAGGTTACTCATGTCACTCATGTAATGGGAGAGTTCCCATTGGTTGGGGAAGCATAGTAGGAGGGAACTTCCGGGGGAGGTCCGGGCGCCCGGTTCAGGTGATACACGTGGGTCCACCGGCTTGCTTAGCAGGACGCACACAGGACGCTGGCGGCTTTTTTAAATAGAGCTTTGTTCCTCGCTTGAACGGTTCGTGTTTTTGTGCCCAGCCGGGTTGCGGTGGCTCGTGCTTCTGTGCACAGCCGGGTTGCGGCATTTGGCGGCCCAGACGGGGAACGCCCGAAAATTAGAGGTGAGTATTCGCTCGCCGCGGAGGAAAGGCGACAGAATGGGTATTCTTATTTTGATTTATTTTGCTTTTATTTCAAGCTCCCTAGCCTTAGAATTTTTTCAGGCTAACTGGGAAAAATGGTTGGCTCAAGGTTTGAAGTTATTCGGCCCTGAGAGAGAGAAAATTGATATAACCATT